TCCTGGGAAGGTGCCTCTATATCTAGGGAAGCAGGAACAGATTTGCTGCTAGTAGCCATAAACTGTTTTCACTTCCTGGAGGCCTGCAATGGGCCCCTGCTGCTACCAAGGGACTGGAAGGGAGCACTGGGCCAGGAGACAGCTGCTACTAGCTGTCCAACTGGCAGATCAAGGCAGGGGGCTGGGATCTGCCCCACCCCTGCAGCCCTAGCCAAGCCTCACACTTCCATCACCTGATCAGAGTGTAGGGCTTGGGCCTGCCCCTGACCGAGACAGTTCCCAGCTCCCACTCCATGATCGCAAGACAGTGGCTAGACAGCTTGTTCCCCACTCAGCTCCGTGATAACTGTGTGGGGAACAGGCTCTCCAGCTCCTACCAGCAGGGAGATCCCAATGTCAGCTCCATGATTGCGGGGCTGGCACTGGGAGGTCCTGATCTCTCAGTACTGGCTCTGCAGTCATGGGGCCAGCACTGAGAAATTTTTATCTTCCTGGAAGAGATTATAAGACTGTGCCCCATGACTGCAGGGTCACCAGTCCTGTGACTGCAGAGCTGGTGCTGGGAGATAAGCATTTCCCAGCCCCCACTCCCTGATTGTGATCTCGGAGTGAAGAGCTTGGCCCTCCCTGCTGCTGGGGCAGGGGAAAGTCCTTACCTGGGCTCCAGTGACGGAGCCCACCCCAGCAGCAGGCAGCTTCTGGAAGCAGGAAACAATCTCCTGTCCTCTAGTGGCCGGGAGCAGATTTACTCCTAGTCAGGAGTAAACATAAGCGCTACTGTGCAGTTAGTAATCACAAGTAATTTTGCTACTTGCATTTGCGGGTAGTAAATGTATGCATGATTAGCAAGGTTTACTGTGCAGTAAGCATGTGCATGGGTAGACACATATGCTTTTGCTGCAAATAAAATGTAATCCATTACTTTTCACATGAACCCTTCAAAATTTCCAGGGCTAGAGATTCCACAACTTCTCTAGGGAGCCAGTTCCAATACTTGACCACCATCATAGTCAGAAAATTCCCCCTCATCTCCAGTCTAAATTTTCTCTGCTGAAGTTTCATAGTTTCATAGTAGCTAGGATCAGGAGGGACCTGAACAGATTATCTAGCCTGACCCCCTGCCACAGGCAGGAATGAATGTTGGGTTCACAAGACCCCAGACAGGTGATCATCCAACCTCCTTTTGAAATTGCCCAAGGTAGGGGTGATGACCACTTCCCTGGAAAGTTGGTTCCAGATATTGTCCACCCTAACTGTAAAATATTGCCTTCTCTAACCTAAACCTATTCTCCATCAGCTTATTACCATTGTTCCTCATTACCCCAGGTGGTTCTGGGGAGAAAAGGGCTCTACTTATTTGCTGTTGATCTCCCCTGATGAGTTTGTAGGCAGCCACCAGGTCCCCGCTCTGCCTCCTCTTGCTGAGGCTGAACAGGTTCAGGTCCCTCAGTCTCTCCTCATAGGGCCTGTCCTGCTGCCCTCTCACCAAGCGGGTGGCCCTCCTCTGAACCCTCTCCAGGCTGGCCAAATCCTTTTTAAAGTGCGGCACCCAATACTGGACGCAGTACTCCAACTGCAGCCTGACAAAAGTTGCATAGAGGGGGAGTATCACCTCTCTGGACTGGCTTGAGATGCATCTTTGGACGCATGACAAGGTGTGGCTGGCCTTGCTGACTGCGGTCTGGCGTTGGCAGCTCATGTTCATCTTGGAGTCTATAATGACTCCCAGATCCCATTCTGCCCCTGTGCTTTCAAGAGGGGAACTCCCTAGCCTGTATGTATGCTGTGGATTCCTTCTCCCAAGGTGCAGCACCCTGCATTTATCTACGTTGAACCCCATCCTATTCTCATCTGCCCACTTTTGTAATCTGTCTAAATCTATTTGCAGCCTCTCTCTCCCTTCAAGTTACAGTCAGTTGCTCCTAGTGCTCTCCTCTACAGCCACAAAGAATTGTCAGTCACAATTATTTAGGTCAGAAACGTTAACTTGTTTATGCACATGAAATTTCATCAACATGTCACTTGTCAGACAAACTTTATCGCATCCCAGTTGAAGGACTCTGCTTACACACTCTGTTAAATGTATTCATGCTGTCTCACTAGTTAACAAGAAAACATGCTTTTTGAATTAGATATGCCCAATTCAAACAGCAGTAAATTGTATTCATTTTTAGAAAGTCTATTTGCCTGAAGGCAAGGTCTGGGCAGGGCTAAATTATTTTGTTTAAGACCTGTCCACCCAGCAGTTGAAGTTAGGTCAACAATAATAGTGTCTTTAAGGCTATTCTAGTTCAGCTTCCTTGGTTATTATGTTGAAGTATTGTCCTGCTCCATATTATCAAACTCTTTCAAAATGGGGTAGGAATCAATATATCCCAACAAGATCCCAGAGTGATCCAGACAGTAATGGGAAACCTAGATTAAGATGCATTTAGTGTAAATGAGAGGAGTATCAGGCTTCTAACACAGTATCATTTTGCTCTATAAACTGTGCTTAAACCTTCAAATCTCTTTTCCTTTGACTTGAGTTACCATCCAAAAAGACCTTATTACTACACCTACTTTTTGTCCCCTCTAGATACATATATGCATGATCTAAAGTGCATTAATGCACGTGTTGATGCACCCAGTTACATGCCCAAATCTTCAGCAGTTTCTTCTTATGTGTGCGCACTGCCAGCATATAGGCAAATCAGGAAATAAACACATTGTTGTAGGCAGAAAATAAGGTCATATACATCTATAACTACTTGTAAAGTGCTATAATAAAATACTAGATTAATAAAGGAAGTTAGTAGCTGAAGCTTTATGAGACAGCAGCCAGTGCTTCTGATAGGTTCTTGATACATAGGATTAGGCTAGACCATACAAATGAGTCAAATGAGCCAAATGAGCCAAACCTGGCATTTTCTAGAGGAAGATATACCCAGATTATACTAGGTGACCAGGATTCATTGGCTGTAGCTAGTTGTCAAGAACTAATCCCACAAAGGGATTCAGTTTTTGTACTGAGTGAGGAGTCTATTGGGTATGTACAGACATTCAGGGAGGATAGATTATGTTAAAAATGGCTACGCAATCTAATTTAGTTCACCCAAGTGTGGACTTTACACTAGTTAGGTAGATCTACGTGCAAATTGCACATAAGTTCAAGACAGTTAGATCAGTCCAAAAACCAGCTTCCCAATCTAAGTTAAGTGTACCTCTCAGATACCACTGAATCTAACTTAGCTCAGGTCTGGTGAGACCAATTTAATTGATTTTTTGCATGGTTCCCGCCCCCAGAGAGACAACCCCCACCTCACCATGGACTAGCCAGCCCCACCCCCCAGCCCACTAAACCCCCCATTCCACAAGCCACTCCCAGTGCCAGTTTTATCAGAGTTTACCAATGTTGGGAGTCATGCAAGTAACTTGGGGTGTGGGGAGGGGCAGGCAGGATGGGAGTAGGTTCACTGGGAGAGGTTGTTTGTCTGAGGGTGGCCCCTGGTCCTGGGGGTGGGGAAGAGAATCCCCATCCCCCCAAGCCCTCCCACAGACCCTGTGGACCCCCTGATCTCACCAAGCCCTCCCTGACACCAGTACCCTCACTGCAGACACTGCCTGCCCTTCCAATCCTCCTGTGAACCCTGGCTACCCCCGTGATCCTCCCATAGTTCACACCTACCCCCTCATAAACCCTTTGGACCTCCCAATTCCCACACCAGAGCTTTCTTGACCACCCTGATCCTTTCAATCTTCCCCCATGCTGGCTCCCCATGCTGATTTACCTTAGATTATGTGGCTATTTTTAACTTAATCTAACCTCCTCCTAACCTCCCCGAATGTCTGTATGCAGTCATCATTTCTCACTTTTAGGCTCCTTTCATCCCTCCTGTTGAGCTACTGCTGGAGAGAGAGGGCACCCCGCAATCAGGGTGCTCACCTGGAAGAAAGGAGACCTAGGTGCCAATTCTGCTCCAAAAACTGTTTATGCATTTTGTTCAAGGATTGTTTCATGTAAAATACATAATCATTTGAACAAGAACTAGAGCCCAGGACTCTCCTCTTCCAAGTTTACCAATGTTGGGGCATAAACGGGGAACAGAGAGAGACAGGGAAGACTGGGGAAAGAAAGCAGAGGTGACAGGGGACAAGCAGGGAACAGAGAGAGACAGGGATCGGGGAGAAGGAAGAATCAGCGAGACACAAGTAAGAATGGACAGAGAGAGATCGGGGAGGGAATGCAGAGAGAGACGAGGACTGGGGAGAAGGCAGAGGTGGCAGGACACAAGCAGGAAGCTGGGAAGGCAAGGTGGAGGAAGATGGAGGCAGAAATGGAGGACGGAGCTGGGAAACCAAAGTCCAGGGCTGGGAGGTCAGCAGAGAGGGAGAGAAAGCCAGAGTTGGGGGAGATAGAGGCAGCAGAGAGGAATGAAGCCCAGAGGGAGGTCAAAAAGACAAGGATTTAGTTGGGAGCCTATAGCAGGATAGAGACCAACTTGGGGTCAAAAATATCAGTTTTATTAAACAGGCAGTACACTATACAGCTCACAAAGTTATTGGCTCCTACACATCCACCCACACAATGGTAGCAGGAGAGAAAAAGGCTTGGTGGAGAGACTGAAGTTAGAGTGTGTAGGGACAGAGTCCAGGTCCTTTGCTAGGGGAAGGAAGGTGGGTGATAGCTACCTATCCTGGGCTGTGAGTTGATCCTCGATGGCCAGTCAGGGTCTTGTCCATTAAGGTAAGGTGTTGTCCAGAGGGTATCACCTCCAGGGCCTCTGGGTGGATAGGTGGCATAGCACAGTGCCGGTCCAGATAAAGAGGGCATCCCAAGGAGGTCACACTCCTTTTTGTAGAGGTGGGATACCTATGTCTCCTATGGGAGGGATATGTCCAGGAAAGGACAGTCTTGCTCAGATGCCTACATGCAGATCCAGGTGTCCTCATTGTCTGGTAGGACAAAATGGTGGGGTTGCTGGTTTCTGTAGGGTCTTTGTCTTTCAAATTCTGGGTTTCTGTTCTGTTCCTGGGTGAGGTCCGTGGTTCCTAGGTTAGTCAATGCAAGGCAATGGTCCAGTCATTGAGTTGATCATTCAGTAGAGGCCTGCTACCATTGTACCTCAAGCACCCTAATTCATTCAGGAACCCATTTACATAAGACTGGTTAGACATGTGTCACAGTTACAACATAGGTTACACCCGGCCAGAGGACACAAGATGGAGGCTTGACATTACTTTACAGACATAGGCCTAAATCATATAAATTCAATATAAAACAGTAAAAATCAACACAAACATAATAAAATGCTATTCACAATATAAAAGGGGGCTTGTTACTATAAGGGAATATAAGAACTTAGCTTAGCTTACCTAGTATTACTTGTAATCACTTATAAGGGATAGAGAGGGCAGAGAGAAAATCAGAAATGGTTGGGGAAGGGGAGGGAATGTATTTTTAAATAATTAAAACCAAAAAGAAAAACGGGGTTTTGCTACACTATGTTCTGTCGTTTCTCCCCATGGCCTAGACTTTTTTATTTCCTTCTTTCCTTCCTACATAATTCTTTCATCCTAGTGAAAACTTCCCTGGTATCATTCTACATTTTCCTCTTTCACTTGTCTTGTATTTTCTAACTCACTCCTTCCTCTTTCTTCCTTTACTTCAGCATTAACAGAAGTAGAGGTACAAGCTGCTTCTTGATTCTCCTTCTTATAGACTCTACAGAAGATAAGGCACCACCTGAGCAGAACTGAGCAGTCAGAGGAAGCATACAAGGAATGTAAGTCATTCAATTGAAAACCAACAACAGAAAGGTTTGTTTGCATAAGTATCCTTTCTGTTTAAAGTTATAGTTGATGGTCTGTAGAGCTAATCAAGTGATTTGATTTGACAGACTGATATTTTCTATGCTATGCTTCAAAGTGGGCATGCCTACACATGTGCCCAACTGCACAGTTGTTACTGCGCATCACAGTTTGTGCCTGCTGACACTATGTCGCCATAGCGTCTCATGTAGATGTGCCCAGTTTGCAGTTCACTGAAAACTGGTAAAAAAACAATAAAAGTAAAACCAGGGCACCTGCTCCCAAATTCTCTTGCCAGCTTCCTGTAGCCTTAAAAATTCGTTTTTAAACAACAACAGAAATGTAACTTCCCAGTTGCTGATCTATGCAAACAGAAAAAAACAGTTAAAATGAATATTTGTAAAGGTCTGATGCAATGGGATGGCTGCAGGAGTGATGGAATAAGCTGTGGTTTTGGTGGGGAGGGGTTATAGGGTATGGAGGAAATCAATGCAACAGTGAAACAATCCCAAACAATCAGTTGATATTTTCATTACAGTCACAAAGATAGAAGCCTTTTTTACAGTAATGGAGATTAGCCTGTATATTTATATCGCTACTAAATAAGGGTTAGGGGTCTTGCCTGCAAGCTTCAGGAAGCTACCCAGTTGGTTTTACCTTCCATTTGTCATCTGGATCCACATAAGCAGTAATTTAATGACATCACAACATCTGCTGAAGTGCCTCTCTCTTTATGTCCAGTCATTAAAACTGAATCTTCCTAAAACATCTCAGTAGCTGAAATATGGAACTCTGTTTTCCAAGGCCAGAAAAGAGGGTGATTCTGCAGACTTTCTCACTTGGTGTTGTTCCCTCTGATGGTCTGTTTGAACTGGAGAGTATCTGGTAAGGTTCTAAGCATTTTGGCTAGGGACAGAAATTACACATAAGCTGGTATAAGTGATTGGAAACTGGTTCAAATCTGTAATACAACAGAAGTTCAGTATACATAAACCACTTTCAAAATGGCCATAACCAGTTTAAGATAAACCTGATGTAGTATCACACTTAAGGGTGCAGACAGAAGTGACAATTTTTGCCCTATCTGGCCACAGAAAGCAGTTTATAGCTGTGACCAAACACAAGTGAACAGCTGCAGATAGTTTTACAAATGGCCAATCAGATGAAAATCTGACCCCTCATTGCATGTGGTATCAGATAAAGACATTTCAAAATGTTACTATGGGAACCTGGATGTAGGCTTCGAGCCCTCAGCTAGATTCCCCTTCCCTCCCCCCTGGAACCAACAGTGGACTTCTGTTCAGTCTAGGGTAACATTGTAACTCAGATCATTTTGCAAAAATAGTTCTGAGTTACAGCTGGGAGCTGCCCTTCTGTCTGTATCCTTTAACTGATTTAGGTTAAATCAGTTTATTGAACTTCTGTCCCAGATCCCCTCCAGATTCAAACTAACTCACTGTCCCTGATCACACTAGGATGCTTTGCACCTCCTCCACAACTCCCCACCACACACACACTTTGCAGGATGGGCAGGCCATCCTTGACCCAAATTGTCTGCTCTTGCTGAGCAGGGAGGTGTGCTCCAGTGTCTCCCAGCTTCTGGCCTGGGCCACTGCAGGTATGTGGATGCATTTCTGGAATCAAAAGTGAATATCTGTTCACTTGTTTATTGGTTAATTTTACACAGCTTAAACTAACTTGCAAAGACTGAATTGATTCAGTCTTGGGCTTTTTGACTGTCTGTACTTAGCCTTTGTCAGCAAACCAGGTACATATGAATATTAAATTGCTGAATAATACCATTGGCTTCAGCACACTTTGAATCACTGAATAAGGATACACACAATTGCTGTTTCTTTATTTATGTGTGTATAAGTAAACTACTAAGCTGACGACAGTAAAAGTAAACAGTTTTTTTCACATGGTGACAAAGCAAAGCAATCATACTACATTCCACTCATTGCAAAGTTATGAGTTTGAATGCCTTCCTGATGGCCTCAACCTGCATATATTCATCAGCATATCCAAATAGTCATCAACTGTGTAAAATATCTAAGGAAAAGTTGGATTTATAGGAAAAGTTCTCCTTTTGCCATGGAGTCTTCAGATCTACCCTGAATAATTATTAGGGTGAAGAGGCAGTCATTGTATACCAAAATGCGAGGTAGAAGAGTTTTCCCACCCCTCCTGGCATTCTGAATTTTAACAACTGTATTGCTAGGGGTGGCTGTGGACTCTGGAAAACCGACAAAAATGATTCACTGAAAACTATGAGGCCGTGAATAGACATGCAAGTTGAAGTGCTCCAAATGTCTTCAGAGTACTCCAGAACAAGGATGTGCACATTCACAGCCAAAGTAGTGCTTCATAAATTATCTGCGAAGAGGAACGTTTCTGAAGTAAAGCACTTCATTTTGAAGAATCTTCTGAAATATCTGCACTTTCCAACAGTTCTCAAGTATCCCACAGTGCTTCATTTACCACCCCCATGAAGGGGAACAGTGTGATGGACTGCCAAAGAAAACTCTCCTGTGAATTTCTAGCAACCAGATGCCAGGGCATGCATGCCTTCCCAGCCATTTAAAAATGCTGCAGGAGGTGTGGTTGGCACCACACATCTGTACAATACTTCAATTGTGATGAATTTAAAGACTGTGGGATTTGGAGTGCTTCAAATGCATATCTGACTATGGCCTGATGAGTAACTATTTCCCCCTAAATTATTCCATTAAGGAGTAATATTCAGCTGACTCTAAGGCACCACAATCCTTGCCCTGGAGTCACACTTATTTAGAGATTCACAAGATGTGAGGAGGTCTAATGTGTGCACTTCCCTCATTAACTTGCATGCACAGGAAATTCAAGGGAACGAACAGAAGTGAATGCAATCTGAAGTCACCTTGACTCTGTAGACTCCTATCATTTTAGAGGTAATCTGGGACAGGAGGCAGGTTGGAGAGGGAAGAAATCTCAGTAGTGTAACTCCATTGTGAGCCTGAGAGTGAGCCTCTACATCCACCCTTACATGCTAAATTTTATTTGCCTTGGAGGATTAGACACAAAACAAAATGACGCATATCCTATGTCCCTTCCCCACCCCTCCAAAAGGGTATTAGAGAAATTCTGTGATGGGAACATCAGACTTTTAAATCTCTACAATACCCATTTTTCATTGAGATGACTAGCTCCAAGAAGCCAGACAATTAGCTTTTACACTGGGGTAGAGTGAATAATGTTGTAGCCAAATGTGTTGGAACCACAGACACAGGATCATTTCTAATAAAAAGAAGGAGCTCATTTCATAAGATTGGGATTAAGTCACCATGCTAATTATTTACCTGTAGTTACACAAACTGGACAGGTCTTACTTGTAAGTGTACAACTTCACCAGACACTGTAGAGGTTAAGGTCTTAGTAGGATTAAAGGAGTAGGCATTATAAAAATTCCTAAATGAACAAACAAGCGTAATTCAGGTCATAAGTCAAATTTCAACTGCAGGTCCTAAGTTCGTCAACTCCTAGTGGTAGTCATTACCCATTCTTAATGTTTATTTATTTTAACTATACTTGAGTATATTTAAATCACTTCAAACTTGACTGTTGGCATGGGATGCATATATTTGTACATTGCTTTTCTGCAGCCTCCTTGAACTCAAAGATCTCAAATTAAGGTCATGCCAAAATACTTCAGGTGGTTTAAACAGTTATAGTTTAAGTCTAATAAATATTTTTTTAGAAGTTTATAGCAGTGTTAGCACTCAAAAGGGATTTAATTTTTATGTCACTTAAAGACATCTATCCCATTCCTCACCACTTAAAAATTTAGGAAATTCAGAGCAAAAACATTCATTAACTTCATATTAACGATACAAGGTTATCAACAAAAGCCATAAAACACAGAAGTCAAAATCCCACTAGCAGTATTAATTTAGCTATGTTGTGTTTTTTTTATTCCTTTTTTTCTAATAAACAACAAGATATAAGATTGAGGTTATAAAATTCATCCAAGTCTACACTTGATCATTAATTTGCAGAGCGCACTGAAATCTTAACATGTGACTTCTGGAAATGATCAAGGGGGGAAAGAACACAGAGCAAGGATCCCAGCTTAGAAGAACCTGCTCAGTTCTGCTATAAAATACTGAACATCTTGAACTCCCAGGCGATCAAACCATTCAATATAGCCATGGTGATTTGGAATAGAATCCAGGTCTTAGGACTCTCTGCTCTGTGTGCTACACTAATGTACAGCTACTTTAAAATAAGATAAAATTGATTTGATAGTTATTCATTGTAATTGTAACCAACACACCCAGCAGCTATGTGAAAGTTGGGACAGTGTTACCAGCATAATCACCAGCTTGCAAGGCTAGGCTTGTACTGTGGGCAACTCCCATATTCAATCTAGAGCTTTACTAATTAATTCACATACCTGCACATGCCTCAAGATTGGCTGAGGAGATACAGTAGATCTGTGAGAACATTCATCCTAAGGTTTTTAAATTTTTTTTGGTAAGTATTCCCAAAGAAACCTCTTTCCACAGCACCTGGGCTGTGGGGGAGGGGAGAAGGGATAATGTATGTTCCAAGGAAAACAATAAACAATCAGTATACTGAACAAGTCTTGGATAGCAGAATATCCACCACTCCTTTTGGCAGGTACTTTCACAGTGCAAGGCTCTGGTCTCAAAACATAGGTAGAGATCTGTGTCTGCCCCATTTCTCTGCAGAATCAGACTTTAGAACACTTTTTCTGATAGTTTCTGTAAATGTTTCTTCCCTTAAATTCATCCCATTAAACTCAGTCATTGACTCACTATGCTATTCTAACTACTTCCTCTCCCCTCCCCCCTTAATATTTGCTTAGGATTCGTTTTCATTCGATTTACAACAAAGGGCATTATTCTGCCCTTCTCTTGTGCTTTTCAGCAATGCATCTCAAATCCTTTAGGAAGGGAATACATTATTACCCCTTTTCACAGATGTGGAAACAGGGGGCAATTGTTTAACTGACAGAACCAAAGTCACTTGAGGGTGGGGGGACATGATAAGGGTTTGCAAAATCCTAAATGACAAAGTCAATAGGGATTTATTATTTACTGTCTTACACAAGACAGGAACTAGGGGCCACAAAATGAAACTGGTAGGTAGTAAGTTTAAAACTAGAAGGAAGTTTTTTCACACAGTCATTTGAGTGTGGAACTCATTGCCACCAGATGCTGGAATTGCAAAAGGAATTGAACCAATTATTGGAGGAAAAGGACATCAGGAGCTATTAAGCATAGTATCATAGTACTTAGGGTCGGAAAGGACCTAAACAGATCACCAGGTCTGACCCACTGCCCCAGGCAGAAATGGGTGCTGGGATCATATCACCCCAGCCAAATACCTGTCCAGCCTCCTCTTGAAGACCTCCAAGGTAGGAGAGAGTACCACCTCATTCAGGAGTCCATTCCAGAGCCTTGCAGTCCTAACTGTAAAGTAAATGGGAGCAAGGACACCAGCCCCTGAATTACAAGTCCCTAGACCTTACATTTTTTTTTAATATATTTTGTATTTCAGGTGAAGTCAGCCAAATCAGTTTCAAATCATATTGATTGAGCAGAACTCAGTCCAAAAACCACACTGATTGAGCAGGCAGAACTCAATTGTTCTAAACACCATGTATGGCGCTACAACTGGTGAACATCCTCCATCCCAGACCTTTCACCCTGGGACTCTGGATACTCCCAAATCCATTGACAGGCATCCTACGTGCAGGCCCAAGTCTGGAGGTCTTGGGATTCAGATGCTCCCAGAAACTACAGGCAAGTGTTCTCCATCCCAGACTCTTTAGTCTGGGACTTGAGATACTTTATTAGAAAATGTTGAAGTTTGAGGTTACAAAGTTAAAGCGAAAGGAAATACAAAGGACCCACAGTGAGGGGTTACATAAATAGGATGGGGGTAAGGAAGGAAGGGCAACTAGATTACATATAAAAAGTGCAGTCAACTAACCCAAGGAGCCAGGGGGTAGGGGGAGAGTGTGGGGAGAGAGTGATGCTTTTATAGAGTCAAAAATATACTGGAGACCAGTGTGGGGCCTGGGGCATATCAGCCTGTGTAGGGCTGGGGGGGCGGGGGGCATAGGTGATGCTGGGGGATCCCCACCCCAGTCAGTGATTGGCCCCTTGGTTGGTGATTGGCCTCTGGGGGACCCCCTCCTCCCATCAGCAATTGGCTCCTGGTGTCCCCCCAGAGCCAGGATGCACCTATTGCCCATGGCAGGGTGGCGAGTGCCCAGGGCTGGCGGTGCTCAGCAGTTGTGGTAGTGGGGTCTGTATGGCACTGTCTATAGGACTCCCCAAACCATGGGGCCTGGGGTAGTCGACCCAATTCGGCCCCTCACAGGGACGGCGCTGTTGGAGACCCTGCACAATGATGCTACATTTGGGTTTGGAGGTGGTTTACAGAGAGTGCACACTCAGTTACAGGTAGTTGGATGTAGGTGCAATTGTGGGAGCTGGGAAGAGCTCAGGGTGGGCAAGGACTTTCTCGCTCTATCTTAGCCAAACGATTCCTGAAAGTCCCTAGTTCCCAAACTCTGATAGACAGCGCACCGCCAATTTAAAACAATACAACCTTCAGTGTCACCAGCAAATTTTTCAGCTCGACCTCGGGTACCACCAGCACACTTTCTGCCATATCAGGTAATTATAATAAATCTGCTAATGTGTACCCTTGACAGGTTGCGTGCTACCACTGGTGGGACTGGTACCACAGATTGGGAGCGGCTGCCCTAGACCTTAAAATAAATGCTGCACGTGAGAGAGACCCAGTGGGGGGAAATAATGCCCCCTCATACCCAATTCCCCCTCTCCCTGTCAGCCACCACCCTGCCCCCGGGTGTCACAAATGACAGGGCAAGATGGACCCGTGTAAAGGCAGCTCTTAGGCTCACGCAAGAAAAGCAGCAAAACCGAGCGGGAATCCATAGCCCTCGGCTTTGTTTGCGACTGGGTTGTGGCCGGCGTCTTCCCTCGTGCGGCTTCTCCTCCTGCACGTGGGGCCGCTGGCTGCTACTGCCGCCCGGGGGGGAAGGTGTTTCGGCGCGTGACGTCACAGGGCGGCACAGGTGCGGCCGGGCCCGGCGGGGGCGGGAAGGAGTCCCCGGCCGGGCGAAGGAGGGAGGGAGCGAGCAGGCGCTGCTCACTGCTGCACGGCCTGGGGAGGCCCCGCGCACCGGGACAGGCGCAGCCAGCAGCCCCGGGAGGTGAGTCTGCAGATCCTTGCGTGTGCTTTCGCCGCAACCAGCGGCGGTGTCTCAACTTCTCTTTGAACTTCACCCAGATCCGGGGGCTGCGCTGCCCCCTTTCCCCCCACAGTTGCAAGGTAGCTGATTGCACTGGGTTGCGGGGGGGCTCAGGCCTGGAGGAGGGGGCTCGGATCGCCCCACTGCCAGGGGGAGCCGGAACTGCGGCGCCGTGCGGGGCCTCCCAGGTGCAGCATGCTTGCCCCTGCCAGCCCCAGGCTCCTGCCCCGCTCTCGTAGCTGCCGGGAGCCCGGCCCGCCGGCCTTGCGAAACCGGAGTGGGGTACGGACGTCTCCCGCCCGCTGCCTGCGGTTTCTCTGCTTGGCTCCCCCTGGCTGGTGTGGGGCGGGAGCCTCCTGCAGGACGTGGGGGCGCCGGTGGATCCGCTCCCCGCCTCAGGGTGCTCAGCGGGGAAGCGAAGGGAGGGCTTCAGCGCAGTCACTGGAAGCGCGTCTCTGATGCCCTTGAGTGAGCGCTCCCGGCCCTTGGCGCGCTCCGCAGCAGCTGCTCTG